ATTACAGTGCGTTGCAGTACCCAGCGAACCACCTCAGGGATGAGAACCTGAGAGCAGCCATACAGTGGGTGATACCTGATTTTTTTTCCAGTGATTGCAGTGTCAATCCTGCCAGCAACCTCCAAATTCCCCTGTAAGATGGAGGACCTCCTTATAGGGCTGGATGTAGTTTAACATCATATCCAGGATGAAGCAATTGCAGGTTAATGGCCTTTTGCTGAGGGGCTCAATGGAGTAGGAATACTTATAGCATCCATGGTATGTGAACCAGCAACCTTCCAATTACTTGGACAGATCTCTAGCTTCAGAGCCTAACCAATCCACCTAACGCTAGGAATCAACACCAAACAGAGACACACTTTCCACTACTTGTATTTATTTATTTGTTCCTTGTTTATTAATAATATTATTCTGCCTTTAGCTGGCATAGGCCTGGTTCTCTGTCTTGAGGAACTCGATTCCTCCTAGTAGTGGTGGTGGAATTCATCTGCTCTCTCACACACACTTTCAGCATCTCTCATTTACATGCGTTTCCTTGCACCCTGTAAGTCATTCTCTTGTGTGCACTTTCAACATCTCTTGCACAAATTCGTTTCATTTCAGTTTGCGCTCTGCTTTTGTCCAGTTTAGTGCCTGAAACTATGCAAAATGTATTACCACCTGCTGCAGAATCAGTTGCTGCAGAATAGCTTCAAGGCAAAAACCCTGCAAATACCAACGACAGTATAATTGGGTCTGATGAAAAGCTTACTAGCATATGAACTGCTGCCTTAGTTGGCAGTATCTGCTGTGAAATCTTTTCTTGAACTATAGAACTGCACAGTAAATAGCCTGCGTGGTTAGTGGGGATGTTTGCTTACCAGTGCTTCACTTGACCATATACAATCTAAAGAAATCTGAGCATCTTACAGAAAAGTAGATGCTTATAAGATTAAGAATAAGAAGCTTGGTAGCACTTTAATTAAGGCCATGTTTTTAGTAATTTATGAACACGTTCATAATATATCATAAGGCATTCATAAAGAATTATAAACATGGCTATACATATTTATAAAAAGGCATAACACATTATAGCCATGTGTATTATGCATTATAACTGCATTATAAAGCTCTCATCTATAAAGCACTATAGATACCTTTATAAGGTGGATAGGGTATGCAAAGTCTGCAGTATAGTCCTATTTGTGTTGGGGGGGGGGGCTTACAGCACTCACTGGTCACAGCTAGGGGCGAGGGGCAGTGGTAAAAGTTCTTATGGTTTGTGAATAAAAACTTCTGTAGTCTGGTGTTCCTTGATTTCACATATACCTTGAAATTTGGCAAATTGGTGCATTCTGTTGCTTCAACATTCTTAATTTAAGTCATCACTGCTGATTTTCCACGCTTCCTTTACCCGTGACCCAAGTGTGAAGCCAATCAGAATCAGAATTCTCCTAACTGCACCCCCCCCCCCACAATGCCTCGGAAATCTGTTATTTCAGCGGCACGAAGAAGTTTTATATATGGTATTTTGACGGTATTCAATATATCAATGCTATTCTGTGGTATTATGCCTAGCCAGCATCCCTCCCATACCCGCCTGCCCCCCTGCCCCCGGTTGTGCCTCATCCACCTCCCTGAAATCAATATGCCTAAAGTGTGATATGTCTGCATTTCATAGTATCATATCACGTCACACCAGGACATAGTATCTATTCAAGTATCTAAAAAAGATCCCCACTCCCTTTGTTCAACTGCAAATTAATTAAAGTTATAACTGTCTATTAAATACCACACTGAAAGCAAATGTGCTTTTGAGAGATTCAATTTATGTGCTTTTATAATTAAACAAAGAAGGAGGCAGATATTAGTAGAATTCCAATATATATCTGGCAGCTTGTCTGTCCGAACAAATCCAGGCACATATTAGCAGCCAGAGCCCCCCCCCGAAACTGTCAGTGAAAGTTTTTGACTGGGAGAGGGGGGGTGTGTAGACCCCGGGGGGTGATATGGCATCTGCAGTTCACTAATTCAGAAGATAGCTGGGTAATTGCCCATATTGCCCATACTGCCAGAATCTACCACTGGATGAACACAGGCCCTGATGAGGAATAATTTCTTGATCCCTCTTTTAACCTCTTATCCAGTACAGGGTTGTGGGGAAGCCTGGAGTCTATCCCATCAGCACAGGGAAGGGGAACACCTTAGCTGGGACACCAGTCCCTCACAGGACACAAACACACACTCTGGCCAATTTAGAGATTGGACAAATAACTGGATAAGCCTGGGTTCCGGTGAGCTCAACTGCAGTGCGGCCCAAACCCTCTGAGCAGCCAAATCCATGAAAGCAGAATGGGCACAGTGCATGTTAACAGCGCCTCCCTGCTGGTAGTTGTCCCACCTCTCAGAAACTGCAACCCAGCAGGGACAAGACCCCCATAACTGCTGGTCCTCCCACCCACAGAGGTACGGTCTGGTGTGTTCAGCAACGATTCGCGTGCCCGTGTCTCGGAGCGACCCTATCAACTGCTAATGAGCATTATCTAAACACAAACAGCTGGTATATTGAGTGACTTAAACAGAGATAGAAGTGCACAGTGGTCAGATCAAGCCACCCTCCTGATGTGTATGGATCTAGGCGTGAAATGAAATTGGCTGTGAAAGTCTGCCCTTTACAGTGACAAACCTGCTACTAACTCTCGCCTGTACTTTTTTGTTTTATTGACAACAAAAAGGTTTTTTATAAAACTGGGTTCAGGAATAGGGGGCCAACATGAAACATGAAGGAACAAATATGTTCATGACTGCTAATTTGCCACACCAGACAATAAAATGATTCTCTTGAATATTTACAAGTAGATTCTATATAAAGTAACATAGTCAGTATGACATGAAGGCTCAAAAGATGAACCATACTATAGTAATCTGACTCAGAATGGTTATAGCAGGTTAATTAAATGGACATTAACAGGCTGGTGATCCATGAATAGAGATCATTTACTGAAAAATAAATGCCAAATTCTGTAGACAGATACACAAAATCGAATTAGTTTTCAGGGATATTTGTGCTCTGGGGAAAAAACAGGCTTAATTACTAACCAGGATGCCCCCAGCAGCATAGTTTAGAAGCACAACTGCATTGAGCAACATAGTGTTTGCGAAGCCTGACGCACCATGAGAGTAAATAAAGGATTATGACTTGTTTTGAGGTCACGTTTGTTCAGCAGTATGTTGCAGAGATGCTTTGGTCTTCCCACGAGGGAAACGACCAGTTATAAGTGACCTATGACCCTTGTTCTATTGTTTGTTCAAAGCGTACAATTTTTACACATTATCACATTCATTTTTTTTTTTAAAGTTTTGCTTAAATGTTTACATATTTTTTTTTACATTCATAGACTGAGGTTGAGAAGAATAGGACCAGTTGTGTCACACAATTTAGATGTTCTATGGGGTAAATAAAAGTGTTTCATGCAGTTGGGGGTCAAGACCATTTCAACTGGGGGGGGGGGGGGCAGACTGGGGCCAGTTGTTCTGTTAGGGGGGCCTAACAGTCCCCAAGTATTACTTACACTAGATTTCCAGCATAAAGACAATTTTGAAAACCGATGTTATTTGTAACAATAACAATAATAAATGCAAGAATAATACATTTATTACAAAGTCAAGCAGCATTCGTATTTGGGGGGGAGGCATGCTTGTTGTCACGGGGGCACTTGTTCCCCTAATATGCCCTGCCCCCCCCACACAGGGGCGGTTCTAGGAGGAGGCGGGGGAGGGGGGGCAGTGCCCCCATGACCACATGCCTGTGCCCCCTTACCTGCCACCCCCGTGACCCCTCCAAAACATATCGTACTTGGGTCTGAAATAACTGCAATATTATTATTATAACTATTATTATTTGCATTTATATATGTGGGCTAAAATGTGCATTAGGAACAGTGGACACACAAACATGAGCACATTTTTGTAACGGACTCCAAATTTGGGGGGTGCTGGGTGGTCGAGTCGCTTCAGTTGGTGAAAATGAGGTTAACGACAGAAAAAAAATTATGCTTGTGCAAGCAAGACCATCTAAACAAGAAAGCACAGTGAGGTATATTGGTAAAAACTGTAGAATGTGACTGCAAAGCATTGCATAAATAACATGGGTTTTCAAAAGTGTCTTTTGTTTCTTAATGCTGGCAGTCTAGTGTAAATAATACTTAGAGGACATTAAGGTCAAATGCATCAGCCCCCCCCCTAACAGAACAACTGACCCCAGTTTGCCCACCTAGTTGAAATGGCCTAGAATCGCCACTGCCACTAGAACAGCCCCTGGCTTCATAAAATTAAAAAGTTTCTTTCATTTTTTACATTCCCCATCTGACAAGATTGGTATTGACGTCTCTGTGTTTGCACTTCATCCATGAAGATGAACTTTGCTTGGATTACAGCTGCCAAGTTACCAGCTGAACATCAGACTTTCCAAGGTTACAATGTGTGCCAGGAGGGTTTCTAGCTATTGAAAAGATCAGGAGTTAAATCAAGTTTACCTGGGGCTTTTGATGGAAGACTGGCATCAAGGATAAATTACTTGGGGCTAGGCTTAAAATATTAAGGGTTATAGCCCCGAGTGATCGGACCTAAGAACGCCGATGATGTGTGACTTTAAGGTCACCTGAGATAAGTAGCGCACGGGCATTGAGTGGCTGGCTTATAGCGAATGGAAAGGTCTGAACAATAATTTTAAAAATATAGTTCTAGCGAGGTTAATAAACACAAGTTTAACTTAACGTCGGTTAACAATCGTTAAACCTTTCAATACATACAACTTTGTCTGTAACAAGAAAATTTGATCGCAACATCAAGAAGTAAGGAGTCCTTGATAAGCGGAGGGAGGTGGCCAAGGTTTCAGTGCGTGAGGGGCACTCAACAGCGACTTCCTACTGCATCAGAAACTGCACTTTTTCACTCAGATCATTGGTCTGCTCCGCCTCTCCCTCTCTCTCTCTCCCTCTCTCTCTCTCTCTCATCACCGCTGTCTTTGCGACCGACCATAGCCACCAAGTGACTGGAGTTACTGGCAACAGGACGACGACGATCTCCGTTTGTCTATGGAACTGTGCGTGTTCGTGCAAAACGTACTTCATTTATAGCCTATAGATAATTTCAAAAGAAAATAACGCAGATGAGTATTGAGTATTAAGCTCTCTCTTGGATGAAGATCAGCCACATAGTTGCCGGTGTTGAATGAACAGGTGCAGACGGAATCTGTCAGGGTTCGTGCGGGAATGCAGATTTCCCTGGGAAGTTACACTTCGGCGGTAAATTACGGGAAAAGATTCATGTTTCCCGCACCTTGGGGGTGTTTATAACTGAAGGTAAGAATTTAGAATGTCAGAAGCAGACCCATTTGTTTTTCCACTAAAAAAAAAGCTATAATTATCGTTAGGAATAATTAGATAGATAGTTATCATTGTAACGCATTAAACGTTCAGAATTTGATAACTTAGAAGTTGAACAATGTATTACTTTATTATAGTAATTATAGAATTCCTACAATTTCGGAGAGAATTTAACTTAATTTATACAATATTTTTCCTCTGTTTTCTCTGAATTTGTACAAGACATGCTTGTGGCAAATAACTATTAAGTGTTTAAAATTATTTTTGTTAATGCATTTAATGTTGTTTTTGGTTTAAGGGTGTTTTTGTTGGTATCCTCATGTCGCTGGAAGTATGATACTAACCAGTACTGCGTGTTATTTCGTACTCGTACTTAACTGACAGTAACGAGGAGTTAGAAATCCGGATTCATCTCAGGTAATTCAAAATTTAAGTTCCAAAATATCACTACATTGTCTTGTGCCTGTGAATGTAGTGTACACTTTGTCATATTGTAGATCTGGCATCAAATATTTGGCATCCAAACTCCGCATAAATTTATCAATGTTCATTTCCTTTGATTTAAAAGTACGATGATTCCTAATCCTTATTATACAATTACAAGTACTGACGCTTTTGGCGAATAGACTGAATCTAATTCTATTGTGTCTTGCCATGTTGTGGAATTTTTAAGAAGAACACGATTTTTAAAAGCTGCAATTTTCTCACCACTATGTATCAACTCAATATTTTGCTCCGTGAAATTGTAAGTAATTAAGCCACACCATACGGTATTTTGGTATAACACTATAAATACAAAAACACGCCCCAGGGAATAAAGATACTTATGAAATGATTATTCGAGAAACTAATATTTCATCAAAACCATTTTCGTTTTGTTCTTCGTTCGTCTGGAGTCGTTTACTAACCGCCTGGTTTTAAAGAGCTTTTCCGGAGCTCCTGCATGGAATTTTTTCTTCATATTTTCACAGCACCAAGAAAATATTTCGGGTTTACTACATTAACGTGTGCTGCTTTGGGGATATCTGTAGCATCTCATGAACTAAAGATGAGTAAGAGAGGGAAAATGTGGTCTTTGCATTAACAAGTTACCAACTGTTGGTCAGCATTCTCCGTTGCAAACCATAAGAGCTCAGCTTCTCTTTTCATTCAGCCCTCTTGAAACTTTAACACATTTATACTCTCCAGTTTAATTGAATCCAATTCCAGGTGTTACACTCCTTCTCCCTGGAATAAGTGGGAGAAGGATCATTATGGATGGCGTATTGAATGGACCTTGCTTTCTCATAATGTGATCCACTCAGAAGAATATAAAGGGGCAATCAGGCAGAGGTAGGGAGATCAGTTCTGTTGCTAGGATTCCCTCTTACCACAAAAAAGTTTTTTTAAAGGGCTTCAAAAGATTTAAAATGTAACTATTGTGGGGAACAGTGAGATTTACATTTCTTTATTTATAACACATTTTTATCCTAAAGCAATACACAATTGAGAAGCAGGTTAGCCAGTCTCAAGCACGATTGGGGTTAAGGGCCTTGCTCAAGGGCCCATTGGTGAAATCTCTCTGCTGAGCACAGGAACTGAACCAGGCACAGAGTCACACACCACCCAACAACATTTGCCTGGACTGATGTCTGTGTGCAGAACGCAGTTTGATCCAGAAATCACATTGTTTTTACTTATCCCTGATAAACCCGATTGTACG